TTTCTCTAAGGATTCTTAACTAGGCAGATAACAGGCAGCACCTGTGGCCATGCGCTCTTGCCTTCTCCATTATGTCTCACTAACAGCCCATCGCTTGTACTCGACCAATAGTAGAGTACAACAAAAGCCCTTAATTTCCGGCACTATCTAAACACCTGGTCTTGAAGTGGTTAAATGTTCTACATAGCTATGGAAAAGCCATTTGCTGGATTTCAGATGCAATTTTTTCTTGTCTATGCTGTGTTTTAATAAACATTTAATGTGCAGTTGTTTATAAACACAGACTATTTCAAATGAATTTACCTATGAAAGGACTCGGCTTCCCCGTGAACACACCTAATTTGTGAATGCATATCAAGATTCCATGTCTGGACAATGGCTGAACAGTAGCAGCAGCCATTAATGTCCCTATGACTATAGCTTTGAATTTAAATCAGACTTTCTATACTTTGCTTTTTGGTTTTGATGGAAACATCAGAATGGTTTAACTAGGAGATGCTCACCAGAGATGCACCAGAAGTTGTATTCTGCTGCTTTGAAACTGACCCTGGTAGTTCTCTTCTAGATCTACCTTGTGATTTTCCTATCAAACATTGGCTGTTCCGAAAGATAATGAAGATACTGTTGCCAATTGTAGATTCTTTTTGTTTATTACAATTCTGTGAGAAATATATGGGGTGCAAAAATAGATTGTCACGCCACTCACTAGAGTATTAAGCTTTAAATGAATACCCAATTGTTCACAGGGAAAAGCAAACTGGGAAAGAAGAGGAAAAGGTTTGAAGAGGAGGATGAAAAGCCACAGAAAAAACTAACGTCAAAAGAGGTATGTATATGCCAGATCAATAGAAATATAAAAAAGGCATTGGAATTAGGATTTCGTTTTTTTGTTTATTAATCGCCTTAGGACCTGAAATTTTAGGTAGAAAATTACTTTGAACCTCCAAATAATTATATAATTTCTGACGGCAGAGGCCCTTTTAAAATAAATAAATATGGTACCTGCACTTTTCTTTGTTGCACGATATTTGCACGGATGTATAGCAAGTTCATGTTTTTAGGAAACATTCACAGAAGAGGGTACAAGTGATTGGTTGGCTGAACAGCTGCCCAATCACTTATCCATTGAGCCCATCTGCTGAAAAAAAAGATACCTCGATCACAGAAGCAGCCATAATTTTGATAAAACTACTTCAGGACGAAGACGTGTATACAAGTACAGCGGTCCTGAGGAGGTTAAGGGACACCAGATTTAGAGACATTGGGGTTATACTGCTGCCTACAGGAGGATCTGGCAAACAAAAAAATTAGCACCCCCCACTCCTGGCATGCCTCAGTTTTTTGCTCTTGGAGGATGGACGTCTTCTCTGCTGAGAAACGTTTAACCATCATTACTAGCACAGTTCACCTTGATTAGTCCTTGCTGCTGCCTACAGTGACCTGATCACCTCCAGCCTTTTTGATTATTTCCTGCTCCTAGCAGTCTGTTCATAAGTGCTCAAGGTTTTTATCTTATATTTCAGCCATTTTTTTTCCCAGTTGTGGCAACATGTTCAATCACAAATACCAGGGGAGCAGTCCTGCTTTTTTATGTCTCTACCTTACGATCTGCTAATTGTTCTGGGGCAGCCTGAAGTGTTCCCACTCAAGGACCTGACACAGACAGCCTGGAAGATTGTCTACTGCTTAACTCATTACATCCATTGGATTCCTTCTTGGCTCCATTTTGTGACCCCTTTGGGTTTAACCCAGTAGAATTTCAACGCAGTTATGCATGATCTTATGTGCCAAATTGCAGTGTTATTGATGACTGACTGCAATGACATAAGAATACCTCTACGCCTTCTCTTGCAGAATCATAATTGTAAGCAGAAGAGATGCAGACAGCTGCCATAACTGCCAGGCTTGGAGAGATCATTTTGGCTCTTATTGATGTTGGACATGCCAACTCCGATATGGAGGTGCAGTCTGGAGTGTAGTAGTGTTGCTGCTAGCTTAGGGTCCCTGAGAGGCCCTAAGACAACTAAGTTTTTTTTTTGTTTGTTTGCACATGCTATTTCAAGACATTCTGTACACTGAAAAATTCCTGGTAAACTTTGAGGAAACCCTTTAAGATGTGAATTCTACAGTTGACCTAGCCCTAGAGTCCCACTTTAATAAACCTCTGACTATTCCTTGTAGAGGATGTGCCAGTATTTAATGATCCTGTAGACAAAATGGCTGGAGTCCCTGCATTGCAACCTGCCATGGCCACGATGTTCGTTGTCAAACCTTGGTCAAAACGCATTGCATGGGATCTAGCTTTGCTCCACACCAGTCCTTTATTTGTGGGGTATTTGGAATTCATGGCAACTGCCCTGTACTATTGTTTAGATGGGTTAGTGAATGTCTTGCATCTTATTTCCCCTAAGGACTGGTTCACACCTGGGCGTTTTACAGCGCATTCCTACACGCTGTAAAACGCTCAACATGTGAAAACCAATGATTGCATATGGGCATGGTTCCCACCTGGGCGTTTTACAGCGCGTAGGAACGTGCTGCAAAACGCCCTTCGCCCAAAGAAGTACAGGAGCGTTTTGCAGTGCGTTTCCATTGGTATTCCCGAGTGTGGATCGGGGTTAACAAAGCGGTAACCCCGAGCCACACTCTGGAATACAGCGTACAGGTCTTACCTTGTCCGGGATCCCCGCTGTGTCCTCCAGCAGCTGCCAACCTCCGGGTTCCGTCCCTTGCGATCGGCCGCGTCGCAGGGGGGCAGAGCCGGCGGGAAGTTTAAAAGTGAAACTTAAAAAAAAATAAAAAATAGAGACAATAAAGGGAAAAAAAAACAAAACATCATACTGCCAGTGAAACGCGGTATGATGAGTAAAAAAACGATCAGGTGTGAACCCAAGTCTCCTATCGGTGAACATACGCAGAACTCTTTGGTTGAAAAGTAGGTCTATGGAGCAGGGATGTTAAACCATTTGCAATAGAAGTAACCCCCCTCCTCCCCCATATGCAGAAAGTACAAAAGTATAAGTTAGTGCCACCTTCTATTTACTAAGCGAAAATGAACAAAAAGATATACCTGTCAAGACTCAGACGCATTTTAATGAGTTTACTGTTGAGATGCATTATACTGATTTTTATTTTTTTAGAGGCGGCGGCTAGAGAGGCAACAGCTTTCAAAGAAAGTGGGGGTACGGTACTACGACACACACAATGTCAAGAACAAGAATCGCAACAAAAAGATAGTGGACCCTCAATCCCAAAATGTCCGGAAAAAATCAAAGCAGAAGCATTAATTTTTGTTTCATTAATAAATGGTTTGATTTTTATATACGGTCTTATTTTTTCTTAACATTTGAAAATGTCGTGCAAAAATATCTCCACAAATGGGTTCTAATAGAAGGGAGAAAATATGGATCTCCTAGTGCACAAATGTACTAATCCTGAAGGTACACCATGATTTCTTTTCATTTGTGTGTTCTTGGATCATAGAAATGCTATGGCTATTAAAAAATTAAGATGTATTTCCTCCGAGTAGCGGTGTAAAATGCATTGTGGCTTAACATGAAGATATCAGTTCATGAATAGCTGCAGAACATTGACCATGAGAGGGGTCACCAACGAGAAATGGGAAGGAAACTATTCAAGGGGTTCAATATAAGATTAAAGTGACACTAAACTCTGTGGTTAAAAAATGCCTAACCTATTTAATACAAATGTATCACTCGTCTGTAGATCCTCAAATCATCTCTGAATTGGTGCTGACACTGTCCTTCCTTCTGGAGGGTGGCTACTTTTGATCCCCATGGTCCCTGTGTGTGTTGTAAAGTAATCACCGCTCCAAGCTCACTCCTGTGATGGACTACAATCCCAATACAAATTAGTAACGTGGCGCACAGGGACCATGGGGAACAAAGTGTCTTTTCTTCTGGAGGGTTGCTAGTGTTGACATGAATTCAGAGATGATTTGAGGATCTACAGCCGAGATCAACGAAACCTGTAATATTACATGTTTGTAAAATAAAGGTTTTGCAGAATCTAAAAATGATATCAATCATACTGTAGTGTCATATTGCAGTGGAGAAAAGTTATAAGGACTCCAGGAAGTGCACTATTCCACTCAGCAGAAGTTGAGATATTAGGGAGGTTAGGGTTTGATATTTATACCAGCCATTGGTTTTTCTGTATTTGGAGGCGAGGTGGCCTAATTTTAGATCTATTCTATGGGTCTGTTTCTGGGAATGACTAGTCATAATACATTATATTCATTTGTAAATTTGTCAGCTTTTATATAACTTATTTCTGTAGATAATCTGTTTCTGGAGATCATTACTGGCTATACTGGCAAAATATAAGATCTGTTTCAGTTGTAATTTTTGGAGATGCAAGTCAGCTGGGGTGTATCTGCTAATATTTTCTGTAATTTGCATAGCACAAATGTGCACATTGGGATGGCAGAGAGTTAACTACAGGAAACTGATGTCTTTCATGCTTGTGTTTTACATACTCTCCACAACACTCGTACACTATGTTGAGTTGCATACTTTGTGACACTGTAAGGTACATTTGCCAGACTACTCTAGTCTGTACCCTGTTCTGTGTGATAAATACCTCCATACATCAACACTCTGTGTGCTGTACTGTACATTGCCTACACTGGACAGTTCATGCTGTGCTGTACGTTGCATTCTCTGGCTTGCTGCACTGTGCATGTACAGCACATTGCATATTCCAGACTGCCTCACTTTGTATCATGTGCTCATTATTGCACGGGCTTCGGGGAAATACAAGGGGGCTAAACAGACCCCTGATATTTCCCTTTTAAAATAGAAAAAGAGATTTGAGAACACAAAAATCCTCAATCTCTTTTTCTGTGTCCCCTGTTATCAATGAACAGGAATCCTCCTGAGTGTTCCTGTTCATTGATAACGAGAACATTGTTTACTATAACTACAATTATGAATGAATGGGGGTGATGTAGATCACTCCCATTCATTCATAATTGAGGATATAGTTAACATACCATATCCTCAATTATGTACACACACTCAGCGATCACTGAGTGTTTGTACCGCTCTTCTCTCTGACGCACACGGTCACAGGAGGCTGATCGAGCGGTGTAGAGAGGAAAGCCCAGCCTCCTGTGACAGCGCTGTGTCCACCCCCCACAGCGCTATCCACCGCAGCGCTCGGCCGGCTGTCACTTTCTCTTCTCCCCGCTGGGACATAGAGCAGCGCCCAGCGGGGAGAAAAGAAATCACGGATGCGCCGATGTATCGGCAGGAAAATGGCACTTTCGGCATTATGCCAAAAGTGCCATTTTCGGCCGATAGGTTTCGGCGGCCGATGTATCGGTGCATCCCTAGGAAAAAGTATCGGTACTTGTACTCAGTCTTGGGAGGAATGGTATTGGTGCATCCCTATTTATCTCTATTAAGCCCGTCTGGACTTGTATAGGAGTTGAGATGTGAATTGTGTGTGGTCTCGGGCAGTATTCATTTATTATTGATGTTTTTAGATCGCGGACAATTTACACATTCACATCAGTCCCTGCCCTCAAGGAGCTTACAATCTAAGGTCCCTATCTCGCATGCATACAGGGCTGATTTAAACAGGAGCCAATTCACCTTCGAGCATGTCTTTGGCGTGTGGGAGGAAACTGGAGTACTTGGCGGAAACCCATGCATGCATACAGTCCCAGAAGGTTACCTTCAATTCAACTGCTCTAGTTTCCTTCCCTCAACTGAGGATTCTGGTCTGCACTGCATATGACTGAATGTTTTTTAACTTTTAACTCTTCAATTGTTATTTTCCAGGAAAAAATTCCATTCCTAATCTGTCTTGAACCATGTTTTGAGTATAGTTTTGGACAGCACATTGACAAGCATGATTCCCTATTAAGAACCACAAGACAATAAAGCTAGGAAAGAAGCTGGAACAATTTTATCATCAAAGAACTAGGATATTAAAAATATTGAGGTGTTTCATTAAAGAATAAGCAATGCTTTAACATTTTTCATGACAACTGGGGGAGATTTCAAATGAAAAAGCCAAATCTAATTACAAATATGTCCTAGAGGTAAAAATATTAGCTTCTTGGCATCGGTACTTTCAATGAATCCAAACTGCAGACATCGTGTTCACAGATGTTACTCCTGCGTTATTTCTTGGGCGCAATAATTCCTTCTAGTTGAGCCTACAATAAAACAAAAATAACATGTCATTAGACTACAAAGCCACTTCCTCAATCTTGAAATAAATAAATAAGGGCTAGTTTATCGGTTGCAACTGTTTTATGGTTTAACCTTAATGTACCTTAAAGTGGACCTGTCCCAAAAGTAGTATACTTCATCAGTCACCTAGAGCAGTGGTTCTCAACCTATGGGTCGCTGCATCCATGTCTGCTGTGCTGCGTGAGAGCCTCCTCCTTGCGCATCAGTGTCAGTGGGAGGACAGCAACGGCTGTGAATATAAAAGTGCCGCTGTACACACTCCCTGGACGCTGCAGCGACATCTAGTGGCCGGGGAATGTTTACAGCAGGACTTTTCTATTCACAGCCGTTGCTGTCCTGCCTCTCCCATACAGTGCGGGCTCTGCAGGAGGCGGGCATCTTAGCAGTGCTGGGGCTGAGAAGGCTGCATGGAGACAGAGCAGGGTAACGGGCTGGGGAGGGCTTGCATTCTTGTGAGTGTGCTTCTATTTTCTTTCCCAAGTCCTGAGTCCAGTGTTACCAAGGGGTCCCGGCCCTAGAAAGGTTGATAAACCACTGACCTAGAGAATTAATAGTTCCTTCCACAATCTGAATTGCTATTATATATTTTGAGATCCCCATATATGGCCATGCTTCTCTTCATTTTAGTGCCTTGTACGTTTTCTGTGCGAGGGAGTATATCTTAATTTGCTTGGTACCTGTCCACACATGATTAAAATGCAATTCCTTGCACGAAAAACCAATAAATTAACTTTTTATACTGCCAAGGAAAGGTTGTGATTGTCCTCAAAACAAAGTCAACTCTATCTACTTTAATTTGGGTTTTCAATAATTCTATTCAGCTAAATGGAACACAGCTCCTTCCATTTAACAGTGGGAGTATACTCTGAAGTAGCCACCATGCCACTTCCTCTCTGCTTGCTGAATCACCAATAACATGTAAACTTCCAGGACACATTGATATCTAATTTGGTGGCTGAGATTAAGTAAAAGAACTGAACTTAGTGTGCTTTGTTACATCATGCTTCCTATAAGTATATGTGACAACAAGAAACAAAGTAGGAATACTCCTGCGTTACAAAAGGTAAGCAAAAGAGTTAATTTGAACTAGTGCCTTATAGCAATGTTGGGTTAAAAACTTGAAGTCATGAGCATCTACTTTATGCTAGTGTTCCCTATGCATTTCAAGCCCCCCCCCATTATGACTAAGATGTATCCTTGTACTGTATATTATGTAATAACCATTAATGAGAAGGACAAAATGACTATCCCCCCCCTCTTAATCTGTCCAAAACTTAAAAAAAAACTGTTTTCAGTTTTTTGGTAATACCAAATCCACACTCCCTAGCTCCCTTCCACAAAACAGCAGCTATAGCATTGACAAATTTTTAGTGTGCTCTATAGTATTTGTTTATGAGCTTTCATGAAAGGTTTTGAGCATGTCCGGCCCCCTAGCACAATATGAATACAGTCGGCAGGAAAATTATCCCAACCCCTTGATCTTCTGGTCCTGCATTATATTTAAGTGCCTATGTCCAGAAGAGTTGATAAATGTGCAGTGCTGCATTCAGAATTTTCAGGGGCTCATACAACTCCCTATTTCCTATTGTTCTAATTTCTAAGCATCGCCTACCTGCAGCTTACTATATAGGCCTAAAAGAACCACTATGAATATGTAAAATACAGCAATGATGGAAGATCACTTGAGAAATAAACACAGCGATCTAGTGGTAAGGCATACCATCTTGTAACTTTCCTTTCCCCACACTGCAGGAAGACCGCAACCTCAACAGCCAATACTGATGGTGCGGTGAAGTGCAAGATTTTTGTTTTGCTTGCAAGTACAATTGACTAGTGTGCCCATTGCATAGGAGGCCAAACACAACGTAGTGGTCCTTTCATATTAGGAACAGATTGCTGTGGGCTAAACAAAGTGTAGAGCATTGATTGGTACACATGGCGTAAGGTGGTTGCCAAAGGATATCTTGTCACATCTTTCAGTGTCCACTTTCGTAGTGGCTTTCGACATTCTGTCAAGTGACATCTCAGAACCGCAAGGAAAGTTGGTGGTGGAAGACTTTGATCTGCCAGATGTTGCGATTGTAGGTTTTTTTTTTTAGCTGTAAAGAGCCCAGTGTGTTTCACTGAGATTGATATCAGAATAGTGAAGTATTTACACTTAGGACCATCAGCCCAACATATCTTATTAGTAATGGCCCCAGGAGGGGAAGTACCCCCCAGCCCAGCTGGTAGAACAAGGGGTAATGCATTTGGGGTAAAAAATAAAAACTGCCTAGTTTGGATAAATTGGGTCCCTTCTTACTTTTTCACTGTTGCGGTACATTATTGCACATTTATTAACCGCCATTATTTTGCATGGTAGCGTGTCTTACAATATAGCGGCTCATTTGGCCGTGTGCTGCAGCATAGATGCATTGCTATGGACCTTTTACTGTGCATTACTACAAAGCATAGGTGTAAAGCCACTCTGAAGGTTTTAAAGGGGTCCGTGATATCATTAGCAATGAATGGATTGATTTTACTTGATGCCTACAGTTGTTTTTTAATAGTGTCAGACCATTTTATTCCTTGATTGAATTATTTCTAGCCTGCCGTTTAATTAAAACCTCTACGAGAAGATAACCTGCCCATTATTTCATAGAAAACACAAGGTGAGATCTATTCACAAGCGCTTAACAGCTTTCTATGTTTTGTCAGTCCTCCCCGGGAGAATATAATGTTGAGCCTGGCCTAATAATGAAAAGGAAATAAGATGAAAGCTGATGTATCGGCCTGCTTTCCCAGATTCTGAAATACCTCATGAAGGAAAAAAAAAAAAAGCAGCTAACTGCTTGTTTCAATTAAGGTAGTCTTGATATAAAAATACCAGGCATTTTTGGTTTTCAAATAAACAAGCAACCACATTTGCAAAAAAAAAAAAGTATATATTCCAGCAATAAACCCCTAGGTTTTATCATACCACATATATTGTTAAAGATACAGCAGTACTGACAAACATGATAACATTTTGGGCCCATTCAGATCTGTGTGTTGTAGTAACACACGGTAAACCATGCATTACCGCACTGCACCTAGCCAGCGCACTATAACCCACGTGACCGATCTGTGCATTGCATCAGAAAAAAATGGTGCAGGTGCGTTGACTAACCATTTAAGATGAACGAACTGTCTTAATGCAACCCACATTAATGGTGAAAATGCTGCACAGTAATATGTGTGGTAAATGCAAAGTAACAGTCTGAATGGGCCCTCAGAGACGTTTAGAGAGCAAGCTGGTTCTTGTGAGTCCAGTGTGCATCTTTTATTTAGAGGCTGCCTCTCTATGGTAATCTCCTTTCTCATCTAATGACTGGCCCTGGACCCAAGCCTGTGAAATTACAAACTGGTGTATTACCAGGTTCATGCACAATCCCTCTCTCAGACCACACAATTACCCACACCCAAGCCTGCTATTGCCTAATTAGTCTGCTACAGTGAACTTTTTTTAAACTCAGATTAAGATAATTTGTAGACCAGTTCATCCTTATATTGAGGCAGCCTGAGGTGGCATCTCATAGGGTCACGTTGAAAGGGGGGGCTTCAGGTGCATCTGTGATGCTCTGGCTGGCATCCCGTTTAGGTCACTGATGTCACTGGCAACATGCACCTGGAGACACTAGCCTGCCAGATCCTCCACTACGAACGTCTACTAACCCTCCCTCCTGGAACATACACGAAGAGCAGCTATCTGTTTGTAGAGTCTGGTATACAGGTCTTTCTCTATCGTTCATCGACGGACACAGCTCTGCTGATTTACAACGTAGGGTTATGCTACTGCCTACGTTGGTAATCATCAGAGCCTTAATGGACGATAGAGAAAAGGATTTGACGGTGAGTAAAAAAATATGTTAATACAAAAATTCTCTATCATCCATTGAGGGACACAGCTCTGATGATTAACAACATAGGCAGCAGTATAACTCTACAATGTAAATCATCAAAGCTGTGTACCTCAATGGACTCTGAGAAAAGTATTCTACAGTGAGTACAAAAAATCCAGTTTTTGCAAGTGCTAACTTTATCAAAAAGGAACAGAGCGATATTACCAATTTGTGAAGTACTGGCTACTGCCATTGTTGAACTTTTTATAAAAAGGCTAGTTGCTGGGCTCCAAAACATCATCAAGCACTTTCTGAGCCAGAGGCTTAAAACAGCATGTGGGAAGTAAAGTATAAACTCCTGAGCTACATTTTTACTTAAACCAGCTGGTCATCATGACAGCCAAATAACTAGCATTTGCATAATGGCAACGTGTATATTTTTCTCGTGAAAGGTTTCCTTTAATGGTGGTATATTTAAGTTGTTTTTTTTGCCCATACCTTAAGCTGCTGGTTGGTCCTCTTGAGAAACTGAATTTCCTCTGCATGTTTCTTCTCCTCCACCTGCCGCCTCTCTGCCTCTCGTTTTTCTATAGCCTCACACTTGGCCTTCTGTTCATTCACCTGTCTCTCCAGGTCCTTCTTCTCTTGCTCTAACTCTGCAATCTGTACAGAACATATGATATGCTTGTTAAGACTTGTCCATCATCACCATCTAGGCCAGGGGTAGGCAACCTTTAACACTCAAAGAGCCACTTGGACCCGTTTCCCACAGAAAAATAAACCCTGGGAGCCACAAAACCCTTTTGACATCTAAAATGAAGATACCACTGCATATATATCGTTTTTTACCTTTATGCTATGTATAAAAGAACTATAGTGTGTTGCATTTATGAAATTAATGAACTGCTACAGAGAAAACACCTGCAGCAAACCAAAAATGCTGTCTGCTTCTGTGTGCCGTCATCCTTTTATCGCATATGTACTGGAGCGGTGGAGCTTACACTCTAATGTCCCTCCATAGTCACACACTATTATTATACATTTATATAGCTGACATACACCGCAGTGCTGTACAGAGAACACTGAGCCAGTCACAGTCTCTGCACAGAGGATCTTACACTCTAATGTTCCCCCACAGTCACATCAGTCTCTGTACAGAGAAGCTTACACTCTAATGTTCCCCCACAGTCAAAGTCACAGTAAAGATGCTAGCATCAAAAAAGTCAAATTGGATTGTTTTGGGCCACAGACTGGAGGCTGTTCCTCGATTTATGTTCCATATGTAAATGTCAAATTCAAGAGCGATGACTAAATTATGGGATTTTTTTTTTAACGTGAACACTATGTGAATGTAATTTACTACCCTGTTGTTTTGTGGCCCGCTGCTGGTCTCTTCAATAAAAACATGCCTTGAACAGTTTAAAATAAAGATTATTTCTCTTTTAGATAAAAAAAAAAAAAAATGATGGTAGAAGATAGGGACACCACAGTACCTTCCAGGGACTCCCTTAGGGCTTACACTTACATTTTCGGCCTTGTAGGGGACACCCCAGGTTTTTCTCTCTCCCAGCTGGAAGCAGTGGCGGTTCCACAGAGACAGCGTGAGGGGGCGTGGCCACAATCCCTGCATAGACCGGCCCGCTAAGCAAACAGGAGGGGGTGGAGCTACACCTTCGTCTGTGGTATGCTGAGACGAGGCCTCGACAAATGCGGAGATACCGCCCCAATCACTGCATCTGTCAGATCAGTGGGCGGAAGGAGCGGAGCCGCAGCAGAAGGACGATAGAGCCGCATGCGGCTCCGAAGCTGCGGGTTGCCGACCCCTGATCTAGGCTGAGATCAGGAAATGTGGTCTTTGTGGTTGGCAATTACATTAAATATGGCAACGTTTGAACGTTAAAAGAGGAACTCCAGCGCTACTATTCTTTCCCCTTTTTTTGAGGACCTCCTCTTAAGTCGTGACATGCTGCATGCAAAGCCATGTAGTGTGTGAGCTGAGCGCAGCCAGATGAAAGACTGCATCTTCAGCTAATTGGCTCACATGTAACAACCGACTTGACTTTACATCCTGACGTGCAGGCAAGCCGATTGCATGCGGAGCATCTTCGGCCAATGTGTCGCAGGCTTAACAAAACAAACAAAAAACTATATATTTCCACCTTTTTTTCGAAGGATCTTCAGCCCACTTCATTGGTGGGTGATCTTTACCCCTGCACTGGATGGTGCATGTGTAATAACATGTGAGCGCTGTTCAATGCAGTAGTATTCTAAGCCCAGAGTCAGTGATAAGTAATAGGCCAAGGTAACTTGGCCGTGTTTGTGGGAGGAGTTGCGGCGGCTCTCCTCCCCTTAAGAAGGGGGACAGGGAGCTCCTAGGCACGTCACGGCGAGGTCGCGCTTGACCCTCCCGCCCTTCCCCAGGTTCTATCATTTCACTAGAGCGCGCCCCCTTATTTGGCACGCTGACCATAAAATCATGGCACACATCAGGTTGGTATCAGTAGGGGTCATGAAGACTTCGGAAGCCTAAGTAACTCTGACCACAAAGAGGTTAAAATCCCCATCACTTTTGCTGTTTCATTGGGGACATTTAGATTCACTTCCTGTACCAGGAACATAACAGAAGTGAGATTGAATTTTTTTTTAAAGTGAGAAGAATTCCCCTCTTAGTCACTCGTCATTATAACAAGTGTCCCCATTGGGAGATGAAGGCTCACCTGTACTTCTAGTGACTTTTAGTCTTTGTACAATGGTCACCCAGATGATTGAAGCGGGAGAATAACCAGCAAGGACACAGCAAAAATAAAATAGAAAGGGGTCTAACACTTCTTAACTCTATCCAAAACTTAAAAAGAATAAAATACTCTTTAATCGAGATATGGTTTTCAGAAAGCAAGTTGAATGATAGCCACAGCGCACAGCAGACCATTGCTGGATAATCCTCCAAAATCTTCCCCACCAATCACTTGAGGGAGGCTGCAATCCACGAAGACAACTGGGAAGTATCCTCATAGACCATGCAAAAACACAAACAGAAGCACAGCACCCTTTCCTTGTGTGATAACATTTATTCAATGTGAAATTGTTGGAAACAAGCCATATATTGAACCATACGTGCAGGGCTGAGCCAAAGGAGCTGACGTGTTTCAGGGGATTCCCCGTTCCTCAGAGATAACATGCAGGTGCCCCCAGTCTAAATTTATACACTAAATAACAAGCAAAAAGGATTACATGTTTGCTACTTAGTGTATAAATTTAGACCGGGGGGCACCTGCATTCTAGCACTGAGGAAGGAGGAATCCCCCGAAACATATCAGCTCCTCTGGCTCTGCCCTGCACGTATGGTTCAATATATCGCTTGCTTGCATCATGCACGGGAGTAGTTTTTTATCTTGTACCCAATTTCACATTGAATAAACGTCATCACACGAGGAAAGGGCGTTGTCCTTCTGTTTTCAAATTCTAGAGATGAATAATATAATTATCTGGATCACTGTATATCATCTTGTGAGTGAATAAAAGACACCTACTATGCTAAATAAACCAGCGTCCGAGTACCTTGTTTGTTCCCTGCCTCTGTGCAGAATCGATTTCCGTATATAACAAGTTAATGGTATTATACTGTTGATAAAGGAACATTAATTCATAGAGACAGTGTCTGCGATGCCCTCATCTCTGCAGGCAGTTAATGTCATTGTTGCCCTTTAAATCACATTAGCCAATGATGTGTTAGCAACAGTGTATAAAGAAACCCACCCCTTATCTTTTTTTCCAGGAAGCAATTTGTCTTGTTAACTGTTGGACCATTTTCTAGAAAAAAAAAATATCAACCCAAGTATTGCTCCATATTTTTTAAACTTTGATAACGAGATTAAAATTCAAGTTGGTCGACCATGACATAACTGAATCAAGAATAAAATTTGTTTAAGAAATGTTAAATCATTTTGATTGCAATCCTTAAACCGAGCTGAAGCTATGAAGTCACCGTTGAAATATGAAGCAGTTTAAAAGCACGGCAAATGTAATTTCACTGTGTATTAGATATGGTTGAGCAAGTTAGTAGTTCAGATCTTGGCGTAACTTGTTGGGATTCACGGGGCTGAAGCAGAAATTCTGACATTGTGGCTGTCCAGCATTGGCGGGGCATGAGAAGTCTGAAATGAAATTGTTTATCACTATGGGCCAGCAAGTTCAAGGTTTCCAAATATTATTGTCAACAAATATCTTAGGTATTCTAGAAGGTCCCCTGGTACCAGTGCTGTAGTAGTATAATATCCCAAATTAATCTGCAACACTTTAAAGCACAACAATACAACTACTCCTCACTTAACGACCTGCCGCTTTAAAGTGGACCCTTACTCCCTTTGACTAATAAATCTCATCAGCACACAGCTCTGCATGTTTCCACTTCCTGGTCCACTTTGGCACAAATGATGTACTGTGCCCAAGCGTTGCATTCTGGGAAGTTTATATCAGCAGTGCAGTGCTGGGAAATCTCATCTGTAATCTCATGAGTTCTCAGGGAAAAGCATTTTCCTCCCCTGAGATGATGTGCATGGTCACATATCCTGGTCACTTGTGTCAGAGTTACTGGAAGTAAAGAGAGATCTTGCAACCTGCCCTTGTAAAATGGCCACTGCTCCACCATACCAATGGTTCACTGTCCAACACCCCCCTTTGCCAACCCTCCCACTGGCTCCCACTTGCCCAACAAAAAAAATTCAAAATACTAACAACATCATCATACAGAGCCATCTACGACTCTGCCCTCAGCTACATCACCAACCTCATCTCAAAATATCACCCAAATCAGCCTCTTTGCTCCTCCCTAGACCTCCTGCTCTCCAGCTCTCTTGTCACCTCACACATGCTCGGGACTTCTCCAGAGTATCTCCCATCCTCTTGGACCACACCAATCTGTCCGCTTATCTCCTACTCTGTCCACCTTTAGGCGATCCTGGAAAACCTATCGCTTCAGGGAATCCTAGCCCACCTCAACATAATAACTGTCCTTTTACTTCTTCCATTAACTCATCCCACACAATTATTACCTTTTGGATCACTTGCCCCTCCTACTAGATTGTAAGCTCTCATGAGCTGGGCCCTTTTAATCCTCCTGTATTGAAATGGTTGTGTATTGTAACTGTACTTTCTCCCCCATTTTGTAAAGTGCTGTGCAAACTGTTGGTGCTATATGAATCCTGTATAATAATAATAATAATAATGTATGCTTTAACGCTGTCCCCCCCCTCTCCCAGTCTGAGTTCTACTCTTCAGTGGACTACAGTGGGATAGAAACCAAATCAAATGCAGTTGCATACATTAGTTGCATAAAAATACATACAGCCATCAGTGTGCCCTCGGTTCCATTTGCGCCGTTTCAAGATCGCGCCCTTTTTGGCCGGTCACATGACTGCCATTGTAACAACAGCTCCACCTAGTGTATCCTTCCTCCACAGACCTCAGCTGCAGAAGGATATGCAGGGGAACTCTATACAACTGCTAGTGGCTAGAATACTAACAGTACAGTGCAGAGTCTCTGGGGGCTGGATCGGGGCACATGTGGAGGATCGTGGCTCGGGAAGGGGCTCTGCTCAATCAAAAAACTGTGCACACCTACAGAGGCACACAGAGGGGCACTTAAAGGTATGGTGGTGAACACATGGAGATGCGCTGGTGGCGCAGAGATACATATGGAGATATACACAGGCACATAGAGACATGTGGAGGCACAGGGGGTACACTAGGAGTTACAGAAGAGCATAGGGGTACACTTGGGCATACACAGAGGTACACTTGCAGATATGAAGGAGCACAGGGATACACTTGGAGATACGGAGGAGCACAGGCGGTACACTTGGAGATACATAGGAAAACAGGTGTAAACTTGGAGATACAGAAGAGCACAGGGGTACACTTGGAGATATGGCACACAGAAGTTAATTTGGAGATATGGAGGCACATAGAGCCACGCTAGGGGCACAGGGGCACCCTTGGAGAATTCATAACATTCATTTCAAAGCCTTAAATATAGTGTATTATGTCACTCATGTCATTTTTGTGAGAGGCCTGGAACCTAACTCCCTAACTTCCCATTGCCTTAAATTATATATTGGGTTTCAAATTATATCGGTTTCTATTGGCAACCATTCCTTCTGGAACCTAACCCTGGTGTAAATCAAGGGCTACCTGTACCTGTATCACTGTTTTTTTAAAAAAAATTTACAGCCTTTGTTTCAAAGCAGGAAATGCTGTTTATGTCCATGTAATGCTGTAAATGCAATGACACTACTAGTTTAATCTTAAACTGCTGTGTGGACTCTCTGCACCTATATGCAAACCCCCAACATAAGGAAGACTACTTAGAGACAATGGAAGCAAGGTCGCTATCATCACAGATCTTTCTTCTATACTCTTTCTGAGGATTTGTAAAAGCTAATTTAGTTGTAAACAGAGGCTGGATACTGCCACCACCTAGTGGATGTTTTAGGCTCTTGTTTATTTAGTCTCATACAGAATTCATTCTCAAACCATCAACATTAAATCATATCAACCAATCAGACGTTTGCTGTCATTTCTTTATCCATATAGATAATCAATAATTACTTACTATGCTTTGGTGCAAAGCTTGCCCTTAAAAAAAAGAGACACTTTGTTGATAATGGCGGCTGTTTCTTTGTAACAGCCATAGATTTTATTGATTTAAAAAAGCAAGAATCTTGTTCCGAGTGATCAATATGGCTTGTGTACAAGGTGTTGTTTTCCTGCATTTAATGCTAAAACACAGCAGATGTGAAATGCAGGTCAGCAGATTCTCATGTCCCACAATGGTACATTGTTGGATGACAGTTCTGAGGTTGCGTTTGGCCTGCTCTGCATTTCTAAGGATGCAGCATGTCCTAGTGATATGCATTCTGTAGAGGCAAAGCAGCCAGATTGCAGCCTTTTGTTGTGATCTGCCTTTGAACATATGCATTAGGCCCTATTCACACTTGAGCTGAGCGTTAAGTAGTTTTCCACTGTTTTTTTTTGAGCATTTTTTGTACAAGTGTTTTTGTGCTTGTTTCAGGCTTGAATGTTTTTTTTTTATTATTTTTTTGCCAATGGAAAGTTAGTTATTAGGCAAAAAAATGCACAAAACGTGTGCATCAAACATGTTTTGTGCATGTTCTATCGGGGCCTCAAAATGAGCTCATGCACTTTTTTATTTAACGGCGAGCTTCAAGGTTCAGATGTGATTTGGCACCACTGAATATAATGGAAATCTTACAGGGTTATTCACAAAAGGGTGAAGAGTTTGGAGAAGGCCGGAGAAGTGAACAATAAAGGACATAGGACAAATTCTCCAATTCAGCTCACATTCCAGTTCAGCTATGTTGTCCTAGATTGTTCACATCTCCTGCCTTCTCCAAACTCTTCACCCTTTTGTGAATAAATCTCTTAGTGTTGAGTGTTTTAGATGAAGCTTCAAATTTAGCTTAAAATCATTCTATAAACCAGTCAGCTGTGAACGGGCATTTGTCCAGCTGTGTTTCTTGACTTACAAGATTACAATGCTGCAATGTAGGAGGAGACAGGCTGGAGGGATCGCCGTGACAGCTTGCCAGCTTGGATGGTCTGGTGGGTATAACTTTGTTATTTTAGCACCTAAACACAAGTAAGCACTTAAAACTTGCAGTGCAGAGGTAGCCCCACTACAAGGTATAAAAAAACTTTTCCTGTTTTTACACATGAGCAACATGTATTATTGTATCTACAATTTTGGGAACAGCTTGGATGAATGCGTCCTTTGTTTTGAAATAGCACTGCTAAATTAGTTCAAAATCTCACACTGAGCTAATTGATGTCCCGCTGTGGTAAATTATAGCAATTCATAAGATCTGAGTACACAGCCAGAAGCTTCTGCAGATTCCCCTGCTGGGAAAGCTCTGATCTCCCAGCAAAGTACACTAAAGTAGGTTTGGAGGTGAAAATGTCTTTTGTTGTAGTTGATCTCACTGACCTCTCTGTGATCAAGAGCCTCACAACATCCCTTCATTATAAGGCTAGGTTCACACCAGATGCAGTGCGTTCCAGCCCGATTCTGGCCAGAATGCACTGCATCGCATTGTGGCCTCACAGTGCTTGCAGCATTTTGATCGCACCAGACCGGACTGGACCCCAGGCACAGTGTGCCTTGCGATCGCGTGCGGCCGATCGCATTGCGGCCCGGAGTGCGTGGCTACAGTGCGTGGCCCGCCACGCCCCCTCCTGCCCCACAAAAAAGTGAGCCGGAGGCACTGCGTTCCGGCCAGAATCGGACATCTGATGTGAACCTAGCCCTAATAATAATAACAACAACCTGCATTAGACGTGATGACATTAGCGTTCCTTAGACCGCCATAGCCCGGGGAGAAAAGGCTGTGGGGACCGGTCTACCACCCCTGAGGGCGCAGATGGAACATGAGGATCAGGTGATTATATTTACTTTATTTGACCCCCATAGATTCAAGAAGCACTTAATTCTTGCAGTGCAGGGGTATGTTTTTAAAATTGGCAGTTTTAATTTCATTGTCAAAACACACAGATCCTAAAATAAGTCTCTCATTGGGAAGATACTGCATAGACTTTTGTTTTTCTTTTACACATTTAAAAGTAAAAAAAAAAAAAAAAAAAAGTACATTGAAAAGATTGAAAGGGACTTACTCTTTTCTCCATGTCCGATTTGCCTTGCTCAGCTTGTAAGGCCTTCCTCATGCCAAAAGCCACGCTGCTTTCATACAGAGTTTGGTATGCTGACATGGTCATGTGGATTTCATCACGCACCCTCAACAACAAGACACCCCGTTCAGCACAGTTAATTGTCACTTGTCTAATGAGCTCGTCTGGTGACATAGAAAACAAATAACATTTTATGATCGTCAGATTTTCTTTAGCCTTTGATATATTTTAAAAGAGCCACTCTCAAAAAGATAATTTGGTATTCCTGTTTGTTGTTAATACTTCAGCAATTTGCAAAATCACTTTTTCTTCATATGCCTAATTGCATGTTTTTCCACATGTTTACAAGCTGACCGGTAAAACTTGCAGTGATGGGGGTTAGGGTATGCAGGCAATGCTGGCAGTGTTTTATATATATCTATATGTATATAGATATATAGAAGAAAAAAGTTATTTCTGTAACAGCTCAAGCACCCCTGGCAGTGTTATTGGTTGTCCTGACCACTGCCATTGTCACTATTGCTGGCCAGCTTGGTCTGTAAGTAAATGTTGTGAAAAAACAATAAATAAAACACACCTAGAACGATAGGATTCATATACGGAATCCTATCATTACATGTATTGACCACATACACATGTCAGAATGCAAAATGTATCCAGTAGTGGTCTTTACAGGAATTAGATGCCATCTGCATCTAGAGGTCCTTGAGCATTAGAATTTAAGAAAATATAATTACATATTTTAGGCTATAAAGAAAGTATAAAAAGATCTTGGATCTTAATACAATGCAAATCAATAAGAACTAAAATTGTAACATAATGATGTAATGAGTGCTCAGTGATATTATAATGATGTAATGAGAGCTCATTTAACACATAGGGGTCTATCTACAAAAAATTTGTAAAGCTTATTTATCCAGTGAAATTTCAGGTACATGCCTTCTGTGCGAGTTAACCAGCTGTGACAAGAATGGAGCAAAAACAAATGTTCTTAGTGTATTTGCTCTTCTGGTCGAATGTTCTTCGATAGGTTCATTCATATAGAACAGAGTTAAAAATAAAACATGATGACCACTGGGTGGAACTGAGGATCACATGAAATAAATACAATAGTAACAAGAAACAATTTAAAAGAACTGGAAAGAGTGAGCATTTTAATGTAACTATTGCTATCCCTGTAGTATCAATGGTGATATTTACATGTTCATTCCTTCCAGCAATCTCTAGAATAATAACATTGTTTTTTTTTCCCCTATGATCCAGAAAGCTACATCTAGTGGGCATAATGTAGCATTTTCCCAATTCGCTCTGTTCCGTATGAATGAAACTATCAAAGAACATTTGACCAGAAGAGAAATTACACAGTACATTCATTTTTGCCCCATTCTCACAACAGCTGGTTGACTCGCACAGAACAAATGTACCTGCAGTTTTGCTGGATGAATGAGCTATACAAATGTTCTATAAATAGACCCATTACGTGTATAAGATTCTCTTACTATTGGAATTGTAGGCAATTCATTTTGGATATTGTTGTCTACTGAACAGCCTACTCCCACATCCAAATTAAAGGACAACTTTCTATGAATGTATAGTATTATATCCAACTGGCCCACATTGAATGGGCCAAATCCCATATCAGACTGGATAAGTATATTGTAATTAAAATATAAAGACAAAGTCCTGCCACTGTTAATGCTGTCCTATTCATTTTAGAAGTGAGACAATGTAAATAAAATATAAATAGACACTGACCCTGTATCTATATCAACTGGAAAAAAAAAGATGCAAAAAGACTGTAAAGAAGCAACAAACCAAAGCACTGTGAATAAAGCTCTCTGCGCACTGGGCAGATCCCAGTCTCCCTAGCCTGTCTCTGTTGTAATTTAATATCCAGCTCTTCCTGTAAGTGGACAACATCCATCCGGGTGCTGGGCGTGCTGGACACCTGCTGAATCCACAGCTGATTGTTCTCCATCCATTCCCTGTAAGTCAAACAAACAGGCAGTTGTGAAAAAGTACTGCTATCCTATGACCGGAAATCAGAGTCAGGTTCTACACTCATGGGTGGCAGCATTTTTTGCATTGGAGCCTGCAAAGCATTACACATGCAATCAGTGGATTGCATGTGTAATGCTTAGGCTATTGCAGACTGTTCTTCTAGCCCCAGGTACGTACTGAAGTGTGGACCTTCAGTTGTGCAGTTGGAGGAAGTAATTCATGGACTACAAGTGCAGTGACATCACCACACTTGTACTCCATTGAGAACTAGGAGCTCCTCTGCAACAGTGGTGGGCAGGACTTCAAGTTTTTTCATTCACAGATCCTGTGAATGAATGATGTGGCTGTCAGTGGAGCCACGCACAGCCACAGCGAACACAAAAAGATACAGTAGCTTCCAGGGAGAAGCACCCTACAATTCATACAAGTGGCATGGGAAGGGAGCCATTTTAGGGTGGAGGAGACTACAGAATGGCACCATGTTCCATGTCACACCCCAATTATGGGTGTAACACGGAACATTGTATCAGACCCCATTCACACTGAGCGACATGGAAAAATCGGGCGTTTTTTCACGCGATTTCGTGCTGAGCTACATTGTGCGATATTGAGCGACAGTGCACATTTTGTCGTGCTACGCAGCGCGACTTTTGGGAGGGACTTTGTTGCTGCTACATTGGGCTGTAACCAATCAACAGCGGTTTTGATGAGACCTCATTCTTTCCTTCCATATTGCTGTGCAAAAGTGACCCTTCTATAGCGCGATGTCGCAAAATATCGACGGTAAGGCGCAACACCATTGAGTCTATGGGGCCAAATCACGCGACATCCGCTGAAAATAGGTCATGTTCGAGCTACAAGCTTGAGTGACAAGCTACAGGCGACATTGAGCTATGAGATAAGAACAGCTCCATTGAAATACATTGGACAAGCCACATTGAGCGACAATGCGCGGAAATATGTGCGATTTTGGAGCGGAAATCGCGCGATAAACCGCTCAGTGTGAACAGGGTCCTAAAGATGGAAAAGCCTTTAAAGCATAACTATACAGACAAGTGTAACACCATCCAGTAAATACCAGAGTCCTCATCTCCCACAAATCTCAATATGCCTCTGGGAGTCATCGTTGTAGTTGGTCAGTCTTGCAATGCCTCATGGGACTTGTAGTTCCACAACAGCTGGAGGGCCGGAGTTGCCTACCCCTGATTTATTGTTGAGGAATATGATGGCTGTACAAGAACAAATACAGTTACGCTTACCGTGGTGGCAGGATTGCATTTAAAATTTCCTCTGCTGGCTTGGTGACATCAAGGGGTGGTGTTTTTGGCTTTGGAGGTGGAGGTACAGGAGCAGATATTACAGTTTGCTGAGGAATTGCTTTCAGAGCACGAGACTAAAAAAAAAAAAAAAAAAAAAAAAAAAAAAAAAAAGAAGAAAACAAGAGTTATGATTAAACACCTTGCAAGCAAATCAAATAACATATATGGGAACCAGTGTTTCTGACATTTGTTCAGGCAATCTTGTGATCCAGGTTCCCCTGCCAGATGGCACAATCAAGTCTTCAAATTCCAGTCTGCTGAATGGACTATGAGGAAGCAGATGAGATCATCTCTTTGCTTGCCCTAGTGTCCACTGCCAGCACATGTGCAAGCAGCAGAGTCTGACTGGGTTAGTGCTAGCCCTTCCGTTTCCACTCTGAATGTTACTGTACAGCACAATACTGGAGGGTGATAGCAGGAAAAATAGAAGGGGGAAAAAACTGGTGATAGACTTTACAGTGGGCCTGATGCAGCCTATACATTTCTAATGTAACATAATAATAATAATAACAAATCTTTAGATTTAACCCTGTGTCCATGTGGAACCCCTTGGATCCTTAACCCAAGCCTCATATGGTGACTCAACGGTTGAGATTAAGCACCACCCCCTCCCAACACTGAACCCCACCTCCGCTTACTCTACTGTCAGATCCCAGAGCCTTCACTGCCCACTGAAGTTGTGGCATTTGAAAGTTAAATAACTAGAGGTGGATCTTAGGTGTGATTAACCTCAGCTTGGGCAGAGTTCTCTTGTACAGCTTGGCCCAATGATCTAAGAGACTCCACGGGTATTAAAGTATAATTAAACCCTCCGTTTTTTTTGCATATATCTACTGCTAGCAAGCAGTAGATATATGCAAAACGTTTTTTTTTTTAAAAACACACGCTTTAAAAGCGGTTTAAACTTACCTATGTCTTCCCCGCACACTCCTGTCCGAAAATCTGAAAAATCTCAGGCGGCCGCAAAGGATCTTGGGGCGGGCACATGCGCAGTTCAGATTTTCAGCCGGGAGACGAGGAAAGACACAAGGTAGGTCTATGGACGCATGCACCCGCATGCAGACACCGTGGGACAGGAAGTGCAGCAAGGACAGAGGAGTCAGTGCTGGATCGGAGACCAGCAGCAGCGCTTGAGAGAAGACTGAAAACCAAAGGAAAGAAAATCGGATTAAGAAACATCATTTAAGGTTAAGTGCTGACACTAACATTGGGGGGAGGGGAAAAAACAACAACTTAACCTTTAATGTCACTTTAAGTTAGAGATTAAAGCAGGAACCACATAAACACTATTGTTGATTTTTATTTTAAAGCTCTGTATGAAAAGAAAAAGGGGATAGGAGTTAGATCCTCGGTCAGAATCCTACTGTTCTAGGAATCCTTGTATGAGAATTTCCCCTCACTCCCTGCCCTAGTGACATTGCTAACACTAGAACAGGAAGTAAGGCGAAATTTCCATACAACACAAAGCGAATAACAAACCAGCGGATTGTAACCATCCCCTATTTTTATAAAATAAAGTTGTTGTTTTTTTATTGTTGCATTGACCTTGTTTGACACATTAACCTGAAGTTAAAATCATCTTTTTTCAGCTTGTGCCCTGCAGGAAAACGTGGGACAGATCTAGAAGGGGTTTGTCACTGTAAGGGCTCATGCACACAGGCACAAGAGGCGTGATGAACAAATGTTGCAGGCATATTTCTGTGCCTGGGATAATCAGCTCCGGTGTGCAGCAGTCCATACTAGTGAAAGGTTGTCGGTGGCTGCACGTGGGTTTGCAACTTTACTTGCAAAGACTTGCGCATGTGTAAAGCCATAGAATCTTAGCCTAGCTTGCATCTAGGGGTAATCATCTGTATCTAACTGCAGGTAATGGCTCCATATGCGACATCAGCAGATTCTTGCTACAGGATTCCACCACTCGCCCATCTGAGATGGCCCCAACAGCCAGGCAACAAGCATTTTTAGAAATAAGTCAGCAGTGACATTTTCCACGTTTCTCTAGATATCTTATGAAATACAGTATGCCTTTTTAATCACATCTGGTGTAAATGAGCCTTGACAACCATGTCATTGTACCCATTGTATCTAAGACCATTGGCATGCCATCGGGAATACTATCTGCTAACATAAACCAGGTCCATGTTAGTCACTTACTTTGGGTGATTTCCTCTCTGTGTTCTTACTGATCAGCACCGGGTTATCGTACTTGAGCAGGGAATCAGCTGGGGGAATCATGATGTCTTGTATCGGGGGAGAAGAAGTCAGCTGTCCTTCTCAACCTGCAGCGTGTTCCCTCTCTGTCGCTATGTACACTTTCATCTCCCAGGCAACCGGACGCCGCCGGAGATTGAGGTAGCCACTGCGCATGCGCCTACGTTTGTGCTGCGTTGCCATTCGTAGGCTGGGAGTCTTGTCAGTGATTTTTTTGTTATTGAATTTTAACAAAATGTCATATGTGTCAACCAAATCAGTAGTAGCACATTTCTTTGTTAATATTTTTAATATATTATAGATTTTTTTAATAAAAGACTTATCGCTTCGAGTTTACATGCATTATGTATTAAATGGTGCTAGAGTTTACACAAATGGTCGGGCTACGAAGGGTGAATGTGCACCACGTAAAGAGTTACTTTCGCTTCACTTTTTTTGCCATCCACAACATGACCGCGTCGGTTCCTATTGGCTAGCTGTAGAGGTTAGCGTAGGTGGACATGTGACATCGCTGGTTGCACGCTATTGGCGCAGCGGAGGTGGCGGCTGAATTTGAATTTGTCCTGCGTATTTCCGGGCGGAGCTGAGCGGGCGGCAGAGGTAAGATCTGGGCCGAGTGGGTTCTATCAGAGTTATTATTATGTTTATTATAATAATATGTTAGTGCCATGGACATAGGCTCAGAGCGTTCAGCACTCACACATAATCCATTGCGGTAGGATGGTTGACCGATCTCTTCCAAGACTATCTGAGTCCCTCACTGCAGTCCTAGGTTTAGGAATATAGCAACATGCCGTTTTAAAAATCTCACCTGATAATAGGCAGGCCATACCCTTCAGGTGTTCCCATTCTCCTCTTCCTATGCCGTTGTAGAGAGGCAGCCTTTGTTTTCTTCTCAATTATTATCATTGCTATAATAACAATACGGCATGTACTGTACTGCTGTAAAGTGACACTAACTTCAGGAGTTAAACAAATCTTAAAAATGCTTCAAGTACCCTAATTATTAACAAAACTGTATCTTATATGTGTATCACTCGGCTGTAGATCCTCAAATCATCTCTGAATTCATATTGACACTGTCCTTCCTTCTGGAGGGTGGCTACGTTTGTTCCCCATGGTCCCTGTGTGCATTGTAAAGTAGCCACAGGCTCCAAGCTCACTCCCATGATGGACTACAATCTCAATACAAATTAATAAAGATTGTAGTCCATCACGGGAGTGAGCTTGGAGCCTGTGGCTACTTTACAATGCACACAGGGACCATGGGGAGCAAAAGTAGCCACCCTCCAGAAGGAAGGACAGTGTCAATATGAATTCAGAGATGATTTGAGGATCTACAGCTGAGTGATATACAAATAAGATACATTTTTGTTAATAGTTAAAGTACTTGAATGTAGTGTCACTTTAAAGTGAGGGGGGGAGTCAATGTCTAGGAGGTAAGGCTGTGCTGTGCAATGTACACACTCGGCTCATTCATGGCTTCTCAAAGATGCAATCAATGGGCTGGGGAAGCTGTGCATGTTACATTATCAGTGGCCATCCCAATGGCTGAGGAGGATGCCTGGGAACCTGGAAGAAGTGATGGCAGCAGCAGAGAATCAAAGATGCATCACACGGCACTGGAGAAGGACGCAGTTGTAAGGTAAGTGCGGCATAATGTACAAGTATGCTTTGTATACTTGTACGTTATGGCAAAAAGCCACCCAGGACACATTAGTTTACTATCACTTTAGGGGACCAGATCAGAACGCTTTTCTATCTGCACCAAAAACACAGATGCCATAATTCCAATGGTTTTAAATGAGGTTAGTTTACACCATCGCGTTCAGTTCCAGAGCTTTTAAGGAAGTACAGCATGCTGCATGCTTTCCTCTGAAACGCACCTGAAATGCATAAAAACACAAACCCCAAGAAAAACCAATTGATGACAAAAAAAACGCCCTGAAACACAACACTGATCGCTGAGTGCTTGTACCCGCTCTCCATCCTGACTTGCTGTCACAGGTGGCTGAGCGAGCGGTGTGGGATGAGAGCTCTGTCTCATGTGACAGCTAACTCCTTCTTTGTACGCCGGCCTGGCCTCCTGTCACAACTGTCTCCGCCCCCACACCACTCTCCTGATCAGTTACTCTCCTGTGACACGCCGGCCATTCACATCGCTCTCCTCCCCTGCACTGCTCTGCCCCCTTTGACAGTTTCTTGCCTCCCCGCTGAACGCTGCATGTGTCAGAGGGAACACAGAGCAGTGCCTAGCGGGCAGGAGAGAAACCAGGCATGCACCGCAATTTCCGCCGAAAGATGGTACTTTCGGCATTCTGCCAAAAGTGCAATTTTCGGACGAAATTTCGGTGCATCCCTACTTTGAGTAATTACTACTGTTGAAAGCAATCTTTGTGGCCTTATTAAAATGCTGCTGTAAAGGGAAAAGATGTACTCTTATCCTCATGTCTCTTTGGTTAATGCAACTTTTATAAATAAAGATATATTTGCATGTAAAGCATCTCCTCTCTGTATCTGATGAGACTCTTTTGTAATATATGGTTGTACCTAACACTGATAAAATTATTTTTTAGGGTCTCCCATTATCACCATGGCACCAGCAAAGAAAAGAGGAAACCGCGGACAGAAAAATAATAGAATAAAGAATGAGAAGTTGGCGTCATTTATTAAAGATTTTGACAGTCAAGGTAGAGTGTTATATTTCATAACCTTTTTTTTTGTGATCTCTTGAGACTTGCAAGATTGTTGAAACCTAGAGAATAAGTATGCCTTCAAAGAAAATGCGCTTATTCTGTCTGCCCCCCCTTCTCTAACATCATAGAGTTAACCTTCCCCTCCACAGATTTATACTTTCTCAGATCCAGCTTCTGTGGACTCTGGGGATTGTTTTTTGATGTCTGATGGGTTTGTCTAGCTCCATTTTGCTGGCAAGAGTACTGTTGGATTTTGCTAAGTGACCATCTGTCACAATTCCCTCTGTGATCCGGCGCCGGGTTTTACCTCCTGTCCTGCTGCTCGGCTTCCTGCCAATCCACTCTGAGCCTCTCCATTAAAAGTCCAGCTCACTTGTTCCGCGCCATTCGAGCAACATGTCTTTACACTCAGTCGGACTCCCTGTTTATCGCTTGCCTCTGAAATCCCTGTGGTTTGCAATTACCTACCTTGTTCCCTGTGTGTCTTTTGGATTCCCTCTTGCTCCCAGTGAGATCCTGCACGTCCAGCAAGTGGATTGATTATCATCTTCAGTGAGCCCTTGCACCTGTGCTTATCTGTGTGTCTGTCGCTCTTCAGTGTATCCCGGATTGCTGTGTTGTTGCTGCCTCCTTACACACTATTATTTGGACTTCTACCCTTGTGTCCCTCAGTATCAGGAAACACTGTCTGTGTATAGGCTGCACCCCTGCCTGCTGTTGCATCCAGCACCTCAGTGTTGCAACTAACCTCTGTGTCTGTGGGTGTGTTAGAGGGCCGCAACCTGGAAGATGTCCAGCAGCCAATCATCCTCACCATTAGAGGCTCTGTTGAACACCTGGCCCTTCTTAGAATCTGCGTCCCCAGTGACACACAGACACCTACTTCCTGTGTTTTCATCTCGGACACCATTTTTTGCACGCTCATATTGTGTGCCCTGGTCGATGGACTGTGATACCATCAGGGCTAGGTGCAAAAGAAGGCAGCCCCACTTTAGGCTCTGCTGTGCATTTTGGCATTGTTGATATGTGGTTGTCTTCCACAAATGCCTATTTGCACTGAATCAGCACCTATATATGTTAAACTCAGCAGATTTCAGTGGCTTTTTTTTTTCTGTGTGTTTTGGACTGTGAAAATACCTTCAACTGGATCTGTGGTTTTGGTCTATTTTTGTAATAGGTGAATACTTATTGATGTGCAATTCTAGTTTTCACAAGGGTTTTGCTAATAGTATTTTAATGTTGGCAGAATATCACTAGGTTGTCACGCACTAAATCCATTTAAAATTAAGCATTTCAAAATGTAAAGTGTAATGATCTGTGGACCCTATTTGGTATTAAAGAAACTGCTTCTCTCTTTTTCTTCATCTAGTCAAGACAGTTGTAGAGGAATTAAAAGCCAATGTTGCTAACAGTCTGAAGGAAGTGGAAACCTTGTACAATATCGAACTTATCAAGTTACCTGCAGCTATCCGGGAGATGCGCTGGCTTGATTATTTTGGTAAGCCTTCATTTAACGCTTCTTTTTATGGCACATTTCTTTCTTTTAAACAAATATCTTTTTTTTTTTTTCTATGGGTGATATCTGCCCAGATTAAAAAGAAACAATTTGATCTTGTGTTTGCTAAAGGAGATTTAAAGGAACTGGCTGTGAGAAGCGTGGAGCCTGCTATTGGTGACCTCACCTCCTGAAAAATGCTAGTTGATTGGTGGTCATGCTGTCTAGCTTGCTTCATAACTAACAGGGTTACTCACAAAAGGTTGAAGAGTTTGGAGAAGGCAGGAGAAGTGAACAATATAGGACAACATAGTTGATTTGGAAAAATTCTCCAATTCAGCTCACTTTCCAGTTCAGATATGTTGTCCTAAATTGTTCCACTTCTCCTCCCAACTCTTCACCCTTTTGTGAATAGTTTGGAGTCACTGATCAAGAACAAGGATACAGAGAAGAACCTTTCCTGATCTGCATACTTGTTCAAGTCAGTTGCTCAAAGTTGTGGGTCAGCTATCAATTCTAGAAGAAGGAAATACACTACCTCCAGTGACCAGAAGACGTTTAGTTTAAATTGTACTTCCAGTTTTGCAGTCTAATTTGAGGAAACCCCGATCCTTGTTCTGTATTACCATTTACACAGCAATCCTGAAAATATTTAAGTGTATTTCTTACCTTTTTTTTTTTTTTTAGATATTTCTTTGGTGAAGGTCTTTGCTCAGGTTCCAGGCTACTCTGAGCAGTTTAAAAGTAGAGAGACAGACTGAGCTTCCTCTGACTAACATACAATGCTTCTATGTGTTTAACCCTTTGTTAGGTCAGACAGTGTTAACAATTGATTGACAGCTGTTAATTAAATCTGCTAGCCCAGTATAGATGGGGTTCATTGGGGTAACTTCCCTCAGCCCCTTCTTTGTGTCTTTCCACTTGTGTTGTAAAATTTAAGAAAATCCCACTATGTTTGTGCTCCTACTTGCACAGCATAACTAAAGATCATTTCTGTCTCTTTGGGCACACTTAAAGTTTCTCTGTATAATTTCAAAGCCACAGGAAACTTTGGCTGTCCCTATTCAAATACTAAGGACACTCCGAGCTTCCTCTTATTAACATACAATGGGGGGAATTTATCAAAACTGGAGCAGATGTGCATGGCAACTAATCAGCTTCTCTTTCATTTTCAAATCTAAACTGGAGAGAAGCTGATTGGTTGCCAAGCACATCTGCTCCAGTTTTGATAAATTCCTCAATGTGTCTAGATCTTTAACCCTTTGGCCTTCACACCAAGCGCAAAGCAGGTGCAGAGCAGTTGCAGACCGGATCAAAACTGCGTCCTATGTATTCCAATGGTATTTTTTGCTCCAGTTCACATCGCAGCGTGCAGGTCCAGAGCAGGTGTAAAAACTGCAGCAAGCCCATTTTTACCTGCTCTGGAACGCATGCAAATGCCTGGAAGGCACTTAAAAGCCCATGTTAAAAAAAAAAAAAAGTTTTTTTTTTAACCAAAAATGGCCCGGAACGCATCAAAAACGCGGCACAACCCACTGCACTGCGTGTGCAGAAACCTGAGCGGATCTGCTCTGCATTGGTGTGAACAAGGCCTAAGTGTCTTATCTACACATGTGCTGCACTATAATAAAGTCTAGATTCTAGGGACAGTATCTAACTAAAGTTTTAATAGTGGGTTTGAGGTGTGTGTGGTTTTTGTCTGCGCTGCTACGTGACATACACTCCCCATGTTTCCTCCTACAATATGAAAATGTACTAGTACACATTTGTTTTTTTTCAATATTTGGCTCTAGTGTGGGGGTGAGTATATATGCTTTGTGAAGTGCTATGTTGGTTCTACATAAGTATGAGAAATTCAGCTGCCTCCATATTTGACATGCTGCTCATTGTGCCTAAATGTATGTCCTTACTAGAGATAACACATAAGTAAAGTAAATGACATTTTGAAACCAAATTTTTTATTTTTTTTTGTTAATGTTTCTTTTCTTAATGTATTTTCTAAACTAGACTCTGGGGAAATACCAGGGGTCTAAACAGATTCCTGATATGTCCCTTTTTAAAATCGAAAAAGAGATTGAGGACACTTTCTGCAGCCTCCTTTTCATTTATAACTTGTGAAGATAGATGGTATGTTTTTACTATATCCACAATCGTGAATGAACAGGAAGTGATTTAGAGCACTTCCTGTTCATTCATAATTGGGGACATAGTAAATAAACTATGTCCTCAATTATTTACAATAGTCGGCAATCACTGCTTGTACCTGCTCTCCATCCTTTCTCGCTGTCACAGGAGGCTGAGTGGGCGGTGCTGGAGGAGAGCTATGTCTATTTTGACAGCTGACTCGTCCCCCACACCGCTGGCTTGACATCCAGTGACAGCTGTCTCCGCCCACATACAGCTCTCCAACCTGATTCGTCACAGGAGGCTGAGCAGTGCGGGAGCTTCATCCTCCTGTGACATTGTGGCTCACCGCGCATTCCTTCCCGCTCTGCCGCCTGAACGTTTCTCTCCTCTCCACTGGACGCTGCGATGTGTCAGAGGGAACACAGAGCAGCGCACAGCGGGGAGGAGAGAAACGAGTGATGCCCTGCAGTTTCCGCAATAAGATGGTATTTTCAGCATTTTGCCAAAAGTGCCATTTGCGGGCCAATATGTTTCGGCGGCGGAAATTTCGGTGCATCCCTATTGCAAATACATTGGACAAGCATTTTCTTGACATTTAGCTTTAACCATGTTTAACGTTTGAATTTTTTATGAAATGCTCCATTGAAAATGAGAAATTGCACAAGACATGAATCAGTAGGTCAGTGTTTGCAGGTTGTGCACTGTTTTTGTATAACGTGTATTGAGTGATGATGTTTGTTTACACTTGTATTTGTGTTTTTTTTTTTCCCTTTGTTTAGCAAAAGGTGGGAAAGTTAAAGCTTTAGAGGCAGCTGCAACGGTAAGCCTAATTTTCTAAGACTGCAAACAACTCATCATACATGTGAAGTTGTTATGTTGATGTGTTACCTAGATTTCTGTTATTTTTTTAATGTTTATTTGGAGCCACTGGACAAACTACTGTAGTGTTTTTTGTTTTTTTTTTCATAAAAAGCCACATAATACTCTTCCTTTTTTTTTCTCTTTTTTTTTTAAAATATAAAGATAAGTGTGTTGAGTACATGGATATATTGTACCCAAAATTGTCCATAGGTGTCACTCTAAATGCATTTACAGCTCATCAGGTTAGAGTCAACAGTGTGTGGTGATACCAAATATGTACTGCAATTGTGCATCTGACCGGCGTGTTTGTGTTTTTTATGTACCGGGTGGCGGGTTTCAAATTTGTTTATTTTTATTGCTATTGCTAGGGGACTAATAAGCCACCTATAGGATAGCATGTTGCATGTGATGTTTTTTCTTTAAGGAGACATCAGAGGTCTGTAAAGGTGCCCATACACCTATAGCTTTTCATTCGAAAATCATCCACGAATGGTCTTTCGAATGGTGGGACACAACGATTTACTTTTTGCTGAATTTCCTCGATCGGTCAGGCTGGAAAACGTTTTTCGAATTGCTTGAAAATCGATGGATTAGTGGCGTTTTCATACGAAAAAGAATGCAGCAAGAACACTGAACTTACGCAAACGAAATTCCATTCTGTCGATCGACCAAATTCAGTTAGTATCGCTAACGAACGATTATTGAAATTGACATTGGTCTGTGCATGATGGGCTATTTGAGCTAGAGTCGAAAGAGGGTTCTTGGCAGCAACGAAAATGTCCGATCGAAAATCTATAGGTGTATAGCCAGCTTTAGACCTCTAATGTGAACTCTGCACTGTTTTAGAGTTAAACAAGCACAGGCTATGCTCAATTAGCTCCAGAGTGGCTGGAGATTGCCAGCTGTGAAACCAAAAGTGCTCAAAGCGGAGTACGTGGGGCTTCATTCTTTTTAGGGGAGACCAGTGAGTCTCCACTGCTCTCCATCTAGACACCTGCCATGGAGGAGCCAGTCACCCATGAGGCACTGGTGCGTGGGGTGACCTCTTCAACACCATGTAAAAGTGGTCAGGCAGCTGTAAAATGATTCTACCAAATTATTGCTACTACATAGCCTGCAGCCAGGAGTAAAATTGTAAACCATTTCCTGGCTACTGTAGCAACTGAGAGATTGTTGCTGCCACAGATGTAATACTTAGTCCATGGGGGTGAAAGCGTTAATATTTGTAAATCAACATTGATATAAATAAGTGTAAAACCATCCATTTTAAAAAGCGTACAAGCGTAAGAAGAAGTTTAAAGTATAGTTTTTCTTTTTAATTACTGACAATAAGATTTGCCGATAAGTAAGGTTGATGGCAGCCTATTATCTGCTATTATGATGTGGATAGCTAATATTCCTTCTTATTTATAGTTGAAATAATGTTCTCTGGCCAGTTCTTAAGTTCTAATGTAGCTGCCCTAAAAGCCATTACAATCACACATTACTTGTCTGAAGTAATTAGCGTTCTTTAGATAAACCTGTTATCCATGCAGTAGAGTGTTGTGTTCGCTGGCTATAGCCTTTTAAATGACTTTTAACTAGACTCTAAATTTGAGGTTTTGGAAAGCTCTTTTGCCTTTTGGTGAAACCGCTTTACTGTTGGCTTTATTTATGTTTATCGCAATAGACTGTTTGGCACAAAGTAAAGATTTATTCCAGACCACTGACCTGTCAGTTTCTTTTTGTAAGCACTGAGCGGTCGATACGTGCCGCGCTGTACATCCTCTGAATAGCTACAATAAAAACAATTGTTTTGTCACGGTCTGTTTGCATTAGGTGAATGTGGACATCGAGCAAATAACATCAAGTGTTTCTCAAACACCGTTTAAGCCTCCCAGGAAAGGTCAGTGTACATACTTTATATTTTTTGCCCTCTCGCTTTTCCACGGTGGGATCAATTTGAGTTTAGCTGTGTTCCTTGCCCTCTATTAAGGGCAGCAGATGTAAAAGTTACCTATGATCTGAAACCTTAAAGTGGATGATTTTAACTAGTTCTTTTTTATAGATAAGGTCTTTACTGCTGTACCCCCATGGGATGATTTCCACTCAGACCCATTCCCATTGTGATGGCTAGGGCTCTGCGTCTAGTGTATGGTCTTCTTTTCCTTCAGTTAAATGCATTTTACATTATTGCGGAAAATCCACTCTGTAGAATTGCAGGGAGGGGGCAGTATAATGCAGAGCGTTCTCAGTGGATTTTCTGTAGGAATGTTCCATTCAAAGCAGAGCCATAGCTTGGTTTGAGTTCAAAGAGATGTCACTACTGCATTATAAAACCATCCCCTGTAACTTGCAGGGGATCAAACTCCACCTCATTTGGGGTTCACTCATTTATAAAATTATACAACACCCCTCTGTATATTCCTGTTAGGTAAAGTGTCACTGTCTATAGTGAGCAGTATTTTTGGTGGTGCACACATTGGTGTAAAAGAAGCCCAAACACATTTTTTTTAGCTTGCTGATCATTCAGACCCTTGTGTAGAAAAGAGATTGGAAAGTTAAAAGGATCAATGTTTATTGATCTGTAAGTTACATAAGTAATGGTTCTAAACCCTCTATTCACACTTGCAAATGGTGACATTGCGCTTCATTTAAAAGAATGGGCGGCCCTACCCATAGTGTGTTCAGTATATTGTTGTTTTGCTATCATATTATAGGATTTTTTTCCCTAGGTTACATGTCTGATTTGGTTATAATTTGAATTGCCTTATTTTATCTTTGTACTTGGATTTAAAATTGCTTGTATACTTTTCATATTGTTGTGCATACAGCACATACAGTCTGCTTTATGTATTTTTATTTTTCTTCTACTCCACAGCTAAAAAAGCAAAGTGTAACTCCATTGAAAATGACGAGGAAAACATTCCAGTCCAGAGTGTTCTAAGACCAAGAACAAATGTAAGCTTGAAAAACTCTAGTTGCAATAATTGGCAAGAAGCCTGGCTTGGTTCACTTTGCCTTGTGTAGCGATGACTCCCAAAGGAGCAGTTGGTAACTGGTTCCTCCTGCTTGTTTAGCAGTTACCAGCCTTTTTTCTCAGCAACACTGACACTTAAAATGAACAGGCTCGAAGTCTCAGGGTCTTTTTAGTTTTTATTGCTCTGCGGTAGTGCACCAACTGGCTTCTGTTCTTCTGTGTATAGTGCCTGAATGATATCCAGACGGCAGCTCTTCTGTGACACTATCCAGAAAAAAGATCCTTATCCAGCTTAGTCTCAATAAAATTTCAAATCTAGCCATAAGGTAAGCCTCAGAGTCCCCAACACATGGCACATGCTGAGGCCCGGACCTTTTAATTACATAGTCACGCAGACCTCCTCGCGAGGAGAAGCCCCAGGGGAGAGGGATTTCTGGAAAGGTGCTCCCAAATATTTATTATCTCCCCCAGCCATACCTGTGAGTCAGCCTCCTCAGGGATGGTTGAGAGTCGCATATACATGGGCTCAATCTCAGTGGCCAAATAGGGGGATGACTCCTGTTTCATTAGGATGAAAAGGTGAATCTTGGCTAATAACATTAATGTTAAGGATTTTCACTGACCTTCATATGCTTCAGTTCACCTAGGGAGATATGCTGTTTGCATCTTACACATCATTTTATGTCATGTTACTTTCATTTTTGTTATAGTTGCCAAAAGGTAAACCTAGTCCTTTAGGACTTTTTATCTGCTCTCCCCCCTCACATTTATTCTGTTTTAATGTTTGGACAGTTCTGGTCAGTCACATGGATGCTACATTCCCAGATGACTTCTGCCTGTGCTGATCTAGCAAAGCGCATAACTAAGGTGTTTTCAATTCCAAGGGGACACTTTAAAATAAACTACTGTATGATCAAGCAAATGAGCGTACATAAACATAATACACAGACATCTGGATAACTTTGCTTTACTGCTATCCAGTACAGTATTTACTTCTTAATGGCTTGTATCATATCCATCTATTATATCTAGTTGTGTACATGAAACTTATTTGAATTTTCTTCTGTACTTGTAAGGCAAAAGCTTCCACTGCCAAAAAACTTGCAACCACAAGAAAAACAAGAGTGTCTGCTGCAAACACAACTGCTAAGAGGTAAGGTTGCCATAGTTTCTGAAACTGAAAAGTCAAAAGATAACATACAATGAAGCCTTTTAAAGGAGAACTATGAGGTGAGTGCTTTTCACCCGCCTCATAGTTCTAGCCGACCTGTGACAATGAGACTGTCACAGGTCGGCTCAGTAGACCGGGAGGTGAGCGAACACATACCGGGTTCGCTCGCCCCTCGATCCTGTCACGGCTCTCTGCCGTGACAGGGGAGGGGCTGTATTCCCCGCTCCGATCCGCCAGCGCTGACTGGCGGAATGGACGGGGGAGGGGGCGGGTACAGCTGGCTCTGCTCTAGATAGGCAGAGCCAGCTGTCACTCACGCAGCTGGGCGGATCCCATCTAAGTCGGGATCCGCTCCGGCTGCGACGTCTCAGTATACCGCAAGCTGTAGCTCGCGGTATACTGAGCTTAGGGTAACGGGAGGACGCTAGTTTGTGTCCTCCCGTTACCCTAAGGAGAACTATGGGGAAAAACACTGACCCCATAGTTCTCCTTTAAAATTGTTCAGTTTTATAAAAGAGGAGGCAAATGTGCAAAATCCAAGCAGTTAATGTATATTTAAAGGACATATGGGCACATAATGGTAGCAATCGTACAACAAGCCAGTCTATCTAACTTCTCAACATATCTGTGCTTTTGGATAATGGGTTGTACCATAGGTGGGGAAGTTTTTGTTCCATATGTGCTGGGATATTTGTTTGGTTATTACCAATTGCCTATATGCCTTAAAGGGAATTCTAGAATGCAAGCCTGCAGAGAACACCACAATATATTTTCTAACATAAGTCTGTGTTCATAAAAGACATCCAAAGCAAAAATATTAATAAATGCAAGAGGTTACTGGATTATTTGTCTTTCTCTGTTGTCCAGATCAACTGCTCCTGGCAAATGAGGAACATGCATTTTTAATTTAAAGTTAAGTTGTAGCAAACATTGGAAAGGAAGTGGGTGAAGGAGGATAGACATTTTTTTAATATATGTATATCCGTACAGTTGTATCTGGCTCTTGGTATTCTGTGGGCGAGCTCTCCAGTCACCATGCCTGATACGCTGGAGAGCCCTTTCCATATTTTCTTGACTTTTTTTTCACGAGGTAGGTCAAAGTGTTTCTTAAACCCCCCC